CAGAAACTTGTTGTTGGTGACCACACATATAAGTAGAAAACCATTATCTGGGGGTATTTAAACACATCTGCCTGTTAGAAGCACATCAAAGTCACTTTATATACAGCTCGGCCATAACACAATATATTAAGAAAACAAACCTGTAACTCACCTATCAATGAATTAGAAAGGTCAGTGTGGGCGTCAGGACCATCACAATCAATCAACTGGCGGAGACACAGCTGGTCACAGGGAGGACCTTCTACCTAGAAACCAAACACCAAGAACTCCACTTTAAAATTCAAGCCATGTCCTGAAGACAACCAAAGTGTACGCAGTGCTTGCTTACTGTGCGATTCCCAAATAATCTGAGGTGAAAAAAAAATTTTTTTAAGGTGAAACTTACTGAAACTTTTGAGAATTACCAGACTCCTCTCTGAACTGTTCTACCTCCGAATAGATAAATGCTCCTGATTACTTTTCTCACCTGGACAGCATTTAGTGGGTGCTCCTCCCAGATACTCACGAGTCTTGCCAGGTATCTCTTCATAAAGGTGATGCCTTTGAGAGGTCTGAAAACCTGCAACCCAAGTGTGCTTACAAAAGTGAAGCCAACTGCCTCTCACCTCCAGAATGAGGTCACTCAGGTTTAGATGGCTTCTCAGGAGGCGCAAGGCTGACTCTCTCACCTTCTGCTCCCCTTCCGGACTCAGTTTCTGCCTCTCGACCCTTCCCTCTAGGGAAGAAAATCAGTTTCACAAAAATTACAGCACTCCTTAAACACTCAGACAAGGAAATACTGTGAAACGCTGTACCCCTGGAGGTGATGCACCCTGGAACGTTATGTCCATGGGACTCCTGCCAAAAACCGCACAAACTTAATCTAACCCTAGACATATCAGACACACCCAAAAGAGGGACACTCCTTCAAACGCCCAGGTCAGGAAGACCCAGGAACTGTCACCCACGCAGGGGCCAAGGAAAAGGGAGTAACTGACACGTGGGAGCCTGGACAGAAAAAGGACTTTACGGGGAAAATTTATGAAATCTGAGCAAAGTCTAGGTTAGCTGGTTAGGATGTACCTAAGCTAGTCTCTTGGGATTGATCCTTTCAAAGATGTTAAGGTGACTTGGGCTGAGCGGAGCTGAACAATTACTGTCATCCAGGCTACTGGGGGGTGGGGGAGGTGAATCTTACGTCTCTCCCTTCTGCAATTGCTCCTCGTGACCGCACGTGGGACAGAGTGGACAGAGGGCTGCCAGAATGGGAAGCTCGGGTGAGCGTGGAGGGATCAGGGCTCTGGGATCACGATGAAGGGGAACGAGGATGGGCAGAAGGAGGTTCAGTGGGGAAGGAGTCTTGGGGCCCGCGCCCACCTACCCAGCAGCTCGGCCCACGCTCTCCTGCGGACCCCAGACCCCTGATTCGAGGCGGCAACCCGGGCCCCGGGGGCTGACATGTCGCGAACACAGCGCGGGGCCAGGGCTCTAGGGGTTCTGCCCGCGCTGCCCTCTCATTGGCTGCGGACAGACGCGAGCGCCCATTGGCTGGAAGCTGCCAGGCCACACCCACATCGGGGGCGGAGACTCGGCGGCCATCTCGTCCGGGGCTGAGGCGGCCATCTTGCAGGTGGTGGGAGACCGCGGTCAGCCGTGTCTGTGGCGTTTATTTAGGTCCGACTGAAGGTGGAGGTTAGCGGCGCTGTCAGACGGCACCACCGGGAGAAGACTGTGCCATCCCTTTTGCGTTATTCCTGTCGAGGTGACCAGAGCTGTGCGTGAGGAAACAACCGACAACCCCAAGTTCCGGAGACGCCAGAACCATGCCGCCTGTAGGGAACCGAGGGGAACGAATCTGCGCGCGGGAGTCCGCGGAGCCCGGCGGCGGTACTGAGGCTGCCCCTCCCTTCTTTTCCCCAGACTTAAGCGAAGTGTCACCGCGAGGCCGCGCACTCCGGGGTTGCACAGCAGGGGTCTCCCACGTGAAGTCCATTTCCACGCCACCCTACCCCCCGCCCCTCTCAGGAGGATGTGGGGAGGAGAACTGGAAATCCGGGCTTGTAACCATGGTGACCAGCTCACGTCCCGGAAAGTCTTGTTAGAGAGAAAGATGCTCCCAATATTCAGCCCACTTAGGAATTTACAGGGATTCAATGGGTATGTGCCTGGACTGGGCGCAGACACTGACGTGCACCCCAGTCTCTGTGTCCAGGTTTTCAGGCAACGTAGTTTCCTCGGCTGTGAAGACGGGGTGACAGATGCCCTTCAGACAGCGTTCACTGCCACCGGCTGAACCTTTTCCAGGTGGCTGGAATGTGTGTGCAGGCTGTGACCGCCTTGCACCACTCCTACTGCCCCCGCCCCCCCCCGTCATGGGGTCTGTTGAACTTGAGTAAACAAGGGTCCGAGGGAGGTGGGCCTTGTGGGTTGCAAAATGTGGCCAGGAGTCCTCCCCCTCTGTCTCTGTCCCTTCCATTTGGGCTGGTGATGACATGCGAGTGACATGATGCAAACAGGAGTTTGAAAGGAGCTCAAGCTGAGAGGGAACCCTCCCAGCGACCCTCAAAAGAACATCCTGAGCCAGCCCACCAAAGATCAGACACATGGAGGAGAGGCAGCCTCTCAGCCAGCAGTCCCTGGCCAGCTGCCTGCCCACTGCGAGAACCTGCAAATTAGGCCATCACAGGCCATCCAGCTGCCAGTGACCTGTAAACGGGACAAGGCTGGCTGACACCAGAACTGCCACAGGCACATGATCAGGCGCTAAGCACACAACTAAGGAGGGGAGCACCCACGTGGCCTTGTAAGTGCTGAGAAGACCATGCCTCCAGACCCAGTGAGCAGAACCCTGGCAGGTGCATGTCCCAAGTTACACAGCTGGTTGAAAAGGACTGGGGAGGCAAAGGCAGGGCACAGAGGCTGGCGAGATGGACTCAGGCCATCATTTGGCAGTGGAACAGGGGCTTGACCACAGTGGTGGCCTTGAGGTGAAGATAAGTGATGAGATAGATTCCTGCTTCAAAGGTTGATCCTTGAGGATCTTCCTCCTCCTGAGGTGAGGAGGAAGAGCAGAGTTTTCTAACCGGAGCCAGTAGGAATGTGGAGATACACATACATTATACACACAAACATCACACACATGCACATCATATTCACATACATCATACCATATACTTGTACATCATATATGTTCGTGTACATCACACACAAATGTCATGTGCATGCATGCATTGATACACCATATGCACATGTATGTATAACATACATATTCATGTACACCATATACAGATGTCATATTCAGATACATTATACCATATACTCGTGTATCATATGTATACACGTTTTGTACACACAAGCACATCGTATGCATGCATACATTGAGATGCCATATGCATACATGTATACATCACACACACATACATCATATACACACATCACATACCTGCCCACATACATCAGCTGAGAGGTGGCAACACTGGGAGGACGGTTGAGAGACAATAACAGGACAGGCCCAGAGTTCAAGTGTGAGTGTGTCAGATTCAAGATGACAGACCGTGTGAGGCTGCCAGGGAAGTAGGTTGTAGGAGCCTCAATACACACATGCACACACACCCCCCACACACACACCAGCGCTGCCCGTCACTGCCCATCGTGGCAGTCCTCACCCACCTGCTCCAAAGAACAGTGGAGAGCAGACACCCAGTCATTTGAAGCATGTCAAACATGCCACTGTTGTGACCCATGTGTCCCCTGTGCTGGATGGACCTTCTGTGGGGAAGGGGCTGTACCAAGCATTTCCAAAACATCGTTGGAGCCTGTGCCTTCCCAGCGTCCAATGATAGTCTACATTATTTAGGAGCTACTTTCCTTTAAATTTAGTCGTTTTTTTCCTTCCTTCCTTTTTGGCTACCTTGGGTCCTCATTGCTGTGCAAAGGCTTTCTGTAGTTGCAGTGCTTGGGCTTCTCATTGCAGTGACTTCTTTTGTTGCAGAGCACAGGCTCGCCAAATAATTGTGGCTCACAGGCTCTAGAGCTTGCAGACTTCAGTAGTTGTGCAAAGACTTAGTTGCCCCAAGGCATGTGGGATCTTAGTTCCTAGACCAGGGATTGAACCCAAACCCCCTGCATTGGGAGTGTGGAGTCTCAGCCACTGAACTACCAAGGAAGTCCCTGAGTGCATTTTCTTTCTTAAAATTATTTATTTATTTATTTAATTTTTGGTTGTTCTGGGTCTTTGTTGCTGTGAGCAGACTTTCTCTAGTTGTGACAGGTGGGAGCTACTCATCTTTGCAGAGCTTGGGCTTCTCATTGTGGTGGCTTCTCTAGCTGTGGTGCGCAGGCCCTAGGCCCGCACACTCAGTAGTTGAGGTGCATGGGCTTTAGTTGCTTCTCGCCATGTGGAATCTTCCCAGTTTAGGAATCAAACCTGTGTCCCCTGCATTGGCAGGCAGATTCTTATCCACTGTACCACCAAGGAAGTCACCTGACTCCATTTTAAATGAGGTTTCTGTTAATTTTCACAACATAAACAAACCCCAAATTTTGCAAGTGACTGCCAGTGTCACCAGTGGGAAGCAAACAATGTTCTTGACTATTTTCTCAGCTACTGATCAGGAATCCAGAGAAAGCACTTCCGTAAGCGCCCCCTCCTTGTCCCCTCAGCAGAACAGCCCTGTCTGCCTCCCCTCCATTGTAGTCTTGTGGGATTTCCTCTCATCACCTTGGTTTAGCTCTGGGTCCCCACTTCCTGCTAGTACCAGCCTAGAAATCTGCAGCCACGCCCAGCCCCAGTGCCCTTCCCCCGGAGCTGCGTTGGCTCCTTTTAGAGATCAAGCACAGCCTAGCTGAATCCAGCACCCCTGGGGATTCATGGCCTTTATCATTATCCCAGAATAAACCTAAAGCACAAACCACAGCCTCTCAAGTTTCAGCTTTTCCTCCCAGACCCCTGAGCCCTGCCTGTCTGCAAGGATGGTGACAGAGAAGGCATTCAGGGGCCTGGTTGCTCACAGCGTCCAGTGTGCACGGATCCCCTGGGAGAAGCCAACCTGTTTTTCAGGCTGAAGTGGAATTCGGTGCAAGCTGAGAGTCTCTGCCTTCCTCACAACAGGTGAAGTGGCTCTACCTGTGTAGGGGAGTTAACTGGCCTTTCATCTCATGTTGTCTGACGTTTAACCTAGTTGCTTATATGCCTGACTCACTCTAACCTTTGTCTCTGAACTCTCAGCATGCTCTCAGTGTGGCACCCTGGAACCCTACACTGTCCTCCTGGAGTCACATACGTGTATTCCACAAGGCACCTGGACTTCTGGCTCTGACTTTTTGGCTTCCAGGGGCCAAAGCAGGATCCTTTAGTTTCTATTCTGCTAAAATACTCAGAGGTTTAATTCCTGGATATTTTAACCTCTGGCCAGTGGCAGTCATGAGCCACCCACCCCTCTGATTGCTCTGTCCTGGCACAGACACTATCTGTAATTCCCATAGAGCGTCAGACACAGAGCGTGGGAAAAGCAAACATAACCAGTGGGGTTATGTAGCCGTCAGTCCGTTTCCCACCTGCAGTGACAATGTTTCCCTGTGGCTGTTTGCCCCTGAGGACCTGGGGGATTTTTAGGGGGACCTGGTCAAGTTTTTCAAACTGGTCTTCCAGTCTTAAGACATGAACACCTAGTGTTCAGCAAATATGTGTGCTCAGCCTACACTATAAGATGAATATCTGGGGAGTGTGTTTGCTAGTCCAAGTACTGGTGGGCTAGTCACTGCACTAAAGGTTTCAGTTCTGACCCCAAGCACAGTCCATGGTGACTGACAGCCTTCCTCGTGTACTAGACATGAAGGGTGAAGGACACGGCTTCAGGAGTGGGCTATTGCTGATCCCATCATTGTAGAAATGACCTGGATCCAATGCTTTCCCAGTAGGTTTCATGACTGACCCATCAGTTTCTGTTTCTTGTTGAGACTCCGAACAGCGGAAATACACTAAATTTTCATTTCTAAAATCCAAGGGGCAACTTCAGGTTATGGAAGAACTAACATTTCTTCGACTCAGTTCTGTGTAGTGTTATTGGTGGACAAAGAGCTCCATGTTTTGACTTGAAAGCCACTATCTACTGGGATGAACCCCATTCCCATCTTAACCAGGTATTGTCTGCCCTCCCTCAATGTGCATTTACCCACACGAGTTTTTATTAAAGTATGGGCAGGGCTTGGCACTCCACTGCAAGAAGGAAGTGATCACCTTGACTCTGACTTGTAGCCACTATGTGTGCCCACCAACCAGATCAGAACCCACTGCATCTGGTTGATCAGTTTTGGTCTGGTAGAGTCACTTCATTGACTTTTACTGACGTAGAAGCCACACTTGCACTCCCAGGCTACACCCCTGACATCCTTCTCAATGCCACCACCCGCAGGCTGCTGCTGCTTGTCTGTGTCCATTTCTAGAGTTCATTTGGGACTTTTTTGGGAGATGTGAGAAAAGTAACCTGACAGGAAAAAAACAAAATGGTTTCTAGGAGCATCTCAAGAGCTGACTGATGCTTTTGTTTCATAATTTGCTATGGCTAGAGGGACAAACTTTCAGATATTGAGATACAGAAGTAGAACCTAACAATTTTTTTTTTTTAATAAAAGCCCAGTGTTGTAAATCTTACTGGCTAAAGTGCACAGGGGTCCCTGAAAAAATGACAGATCAGAAATGGTCTTATATCTTACACGGGTGATTGCAGGGCCCCTAGATCAGGTAGACATGAGTCATCACTATGCCAAGTACAAATTGGCTTAACAGATCTTCGGGTAGTTATTTTCAGAAGATTTTATGAGCCCAATTATATGTCCTTGTGTCTAGAAAAGCACTAAAAGCACTGTGACATCTGCTTGTGACTAGCACCAAGCAAAATGTGTGCCTGACTGCACATCCCCCTTCACTAAAATCATGTACATACTGACCTTCCCCTGCTTCTTAGGGGCAGTTCTGTACAGCTGTCTGATGCTGCCTCCCAGTTTATAGTCCTCATTATACTCCAGATAAACTTAACTCACAGCTCTCATGGTGTGCTTTTTTCTTCCCCCAGTGAACAACTAAGTCCTTACCAAGTCCTGTGCTCATCAAACAAGACCCTCAGTTAGGGAAATTGTGGCCCTTTGAAGAAGTACCCAGAAAGGTACTTTTGCTACAACCCAAGCACCTTCCAGTTAGAGTCCTTGCCACTTTCTGCCCTGGGACCAGGGTGCCCCTTGTGAGAGGCTCATGCCAGCAGGAGGCAGGGGGGTGGCTATGCCTAAGGTAGGAGCAGTGACCATAACTTCCAGTGAGTTGGTGGTGGTCTGAATGGAAGACTTTATCTGCACAGAGTCTGAAATCACCCCTTGTGTGGGGGCATGGGGAACAGCCACGTGGGGGACAGCTCTGTGTCCTGTGAGTCTGGGCCTTACCTCACCACTGTCTGGAAACACCCCACTGTGGTAAGACACACCTGGAGGTTCTCCCTGACCTCTACTGACAACCACGGGTGGGGGTGGGGGTTCCGGTGGGTGAAGATTAGACAGAAGATCGGGTCTTAGCTGTCATGCAGGATCTTTCCTTGCAGCACAGGGACTCTAGTAGTGTGCAGGCTTCATTGCTCTGCATGTGGAATCTTAGTTCCCTGAGCAGGGATCAAACCTGTGTCCCCTGCATTGCAAAGTGGACTCTTAACCGCCAGACCAGCAGGGAAGTCCCTAGGCAGGAAGATGAACTGGAGTCCAAGTGCTTGCAGTTCTTGGAGCCCCCCGCCTCCACCTTCACAGTGGTAGCACTGTCTGGTTTCTGCCTGCATAAGCGCCCAGAACCAGGAAAGCTGTGAAAGTGCCCAGCTATTGGATGCCCAAACTTGGACGATTGATTCATCTGTACAAACTCCTTTTTTTGGAAAATGAAAATGACAGATGGGTTATCTGGGAGTAGGGTCCAGGGGGGCTGCCTTCCACACCCCAAGTCTTCAATGAGGTGACTTTGCAACTCTGCTGTGATTTCTGTCTTCAGCTGTTGAGAATTCCCAGGAACTTTCCAGTCCCAAGTTACACTACAAACCTGAGAGAATCGCCAGCATGGAGAAATTCAGGAATCTGTAGGCCATGTGCTGCCCAGGATGGGGACCATCGCCTTTCTTGCCTCACCTCCCAGTGAATTTTGGCCATGTCAGTCGGACACAGTGCAACCAGGGCGGAAGAGCCCGCGGGGCGCCTTTGAGCCGGTGCCCCCGGCCACGGACGGGAGCGCTGCACCGCGTACCACGGAGACGCCGGAGCTGTCAACACTGGCCCGTCTCCCCCCTGGAAAAGGGACACAAGTGCTTCCTACCGCGGGTCTTCCTGGCTCTCCTTACGGAGTGGTGACTCCCGAGGTGACTTGGCCAGCTGGCTCTGCAGCACCGCCTGCCCCTCCGGGAGTCACTGGCCTCCGGCTCCCCTGCAGTCACCGCGATGAGGCTAGGGCGGGATGTTGGCCTGACACGCGTGTGAGAGCCTGGTGTGGGTTCGCGGGCCGGGCGGGGGGGACCGCGTCTCCCCGATCCCGGCCTGTCCATCCCCGCCTCAGGCCCAGCTCCGCGCCCTCTCCCGCCTGCCCACCCCCTCCGCTACGGGCCGGGGGCGCGGGGCGCTCCGAGCCGTGGGAGCTGTCCCTGGAGGAGGTGCTGAAGGCGTACGAGCAGCCCATCAACGAGGAGCAGGCGTGGGCCGTGTGCTTCCAGTGCTGCCGCGGGCTGCGGGGCGCGCCGGGCGGCCGGCGGCGCATCCGGGACACGGCGGACATCCTCCTGCGCAGGGACGGCTCGGTCAGCGCGCGGCGGGAGTCCGGTGCGGCGGGTGAGGCCGGGGACAGAGGCGCGGGGGGCGGGGGGCGGCGCCCGTGGCGTGGAGGGGCTGGGATCCTCCGTCCCTCCCTCTGCCGGACCTGGCCTCGGACCCGGCTCCCCCTTTGCCGCGCCTTCTCCCCGCGGAACCCGCCGACCTCTCCCACTTCCGCGCCCCCTCTGTCGCACTGGGGCCCTCCTCCGGCTTCTGTCTACCGGACTGGAAGGCCCTCCCCCTCTCCCTTTTCTGGGTTGGAAGCCCACCAACTCTCTGCTGGAGCTCGGACCTCTGCCCCTCGGCCCTGCTTGTCCTCGCTACCTCTCCCTGACATGAAAGTCACTCTCTCTTTTCTGGACCCCCTCCCCCCACCCCGACACACACACCTGGAACCTATCTTACCATTAGGGCCAGTGCTGGCTGGAGAGGAGTGGGGCTTTGGCTCCTTGGGCGAGGACGTTCGGCAGGGAGGCCGGACTCTGCCTCTCCTGCCCGCTCTCCCCACCCCGTCTGCTTCCTTCTGCTCTGGGAGTCGGTCCCACCCAGTGACTGGTGGTGTGGATCGGTGTTGGACTGGTATTTAGGCAAGAAAGGAAACGTGTTTTCCTTGGGCTCTTTTTTGTGGGTCTGCCGATTTGAGAAAGGAAAATGTAAGATTTGGGGAACAGCTTGCTTAGTGTTCGACTTTTTTAACCATAAGCAATATTCAACAATGAAGCCCTTGAAAGATATTTGAAATCTTCGGAGAATGATGAGTTTAAGTGATTTTTAGCCTCTTTAAGAAAAAAGTTTTCTTCCCTGGAGAACCAGAGTGCCAGTGCCCAGCATATGATGATACTACCCCTGAAAGGGATATCCTTGGGGAAGTGCACCCGCCGGCTGTGTGTGCTGGAGAGGTGGGTTTGCAGAAATCCATGCGATGGGCCAGGCCAAAGCCAGCCAGAAGGACAGTTCCTTTGATAACTGGGCAGTCTGCTGAGTGCTTGCCACTCCTGGGACCATCAGGATTCTTCCACAAGCTCCCATCTCATCTGTGTGCCCTGTTCCCACCTCCCTAACACTGCAGTTGGGTGACACTTGAGAGTTGCTCTATTTGCACAAAAAGCTCTAATATATTTGACAGGAGAAAATAATAAGAACTGGATTCAAACGGTACTGTTTCCATTATGCACGCAGATAATCTGAGGTTCAGGCTTCCCTGTCACACGGGAAGGGTTAGAATCTGGATTCAGCACAGATGCTCTCAGTGCCTGTGTACACCGTCCTCACAGGTGGCTCGTCTGACCTGTGGGCCCTGGAGTCTGTATATTCACAAAGAGCTTTTCTCTCACGACTGAATTTCCTCCTTAAAAGACCTTTTCTGTGCCCCTGCTCATCCCTGGAGACAAACAACATAACCCAGGGACTGGCTTCTGCCACTGCAGAACAGGACTGTAAGGGCCTGCGTGGTCTGACCCTGTGATTTAAAAGGTGGGGAACTGAGGCGGAGAGCAGTTAAGTGTTCTGCTGCCAGTCCCACCAGGTGGTTAGAGGAGGTTGTAGAGGAGTCAGTATTGTCCACATGGACCATGATGGCCATCCTCTGGGGTGGTGGTCTTCTGGACCTGTCCACCTCTTCTGCCCAACCCCTCTTCAGCCCCTTCTTCCTGGTCCCTGCAGACACAGAAGCACTGGCCTGTACTGGGAGGTCCTAGCCTGTGACACAGGAGCCCAATCTCATTTTCCATTAGGTACGATCTTTGGTTTCTGTCCATAAGCATGTCTCGTAAAGGTGGATGAGGTTTGTGACTTGCTGCCTCTTTAAAGATTGAAAAATAGACTACCATGAACTTTCTCTTCTGTCCTTGTCAAGCTTTCATCAATCAGCTGAAACTTTCCGCTGTCTCCTGTAGGTAGCTAACCCAGCATTTCTCTGGGACTTGGATGCTTAGTGAATTCTCTGAAAGAAGTGTGCTGTAATAGCCATTAAGAAAAAGGTCACATGGGCCCTCAGTTCCCATCCCCCCTCATGAAGTTTTGGTAAAGCTAGGCATTAAGTCAGTGTTTAAGGTAATGGTAAAGAAAGCAACAACCAAGTACTTCCCCAGCAGTCCAGTGGTTGAGACTCCAGGATTTCATTGCAGGGGGCACAGGTTTGAGCCAAAAGAAAAAAAAAAAAAATTCAACAACCAAATTAAACTTTACTTGGGGAGGATGAACAATATTAGGACATGAGCTGGAATACTTCCCACTCTCTGTTACTTGGGGAAAGCCGACTTGAGTAAACTTTCTAATCTCAACTTTTTCATATCTGCTTGGAAGCCCCCTTTCTTCAAGTGGGAAAAATGGAAAAAACAAGTGAAGTTATTTTTAGGAGGCTATTAAAACTTCCTGATAGGCAAAGGTTTTGGTTTTTGTGTAATTAAGGCAAGAAAGTCCATCAGGTAGCACATGCGCTAACCATTCCCTGAGACAAAGCTCTTTCCTTCCATGCAGCGTGGTCGTGGTCAGTTTCAGCGGCATTTGTCCACCTGATGCCTCCAGGACAGGCCCTGCAGAACACTGACTGCTCCCAGAGTGATGCTTGGCTGCATCCTCACTTGAGACCTGCCCGCCCAGCCGACATCTGCAGGGGAAACAGACAGACTTTTCTCTTCGCACAGGCTCTCCACCCTTAAAGCCCCGGGCAGGTGGAGGGTGGATGCAGGGCTTCCACAGGGCTGTGCCTCCTTTCACCTCCAACCTTCTCTGTTCTTATATGAATCCACACACTGCCCTACTTTTCCGTGTTTGTTTGTTTGTCAGTTTTGATGCTAAAATTTTTCACAAGACCCATTCTTCATGCCCGGGTGCCTCACGTGACCCGCCCACCAGGTTATACCTGCATCTGCAGCCCTCCCTCCTTTTCTGCCTGTAGTTCTGCGGCCCCGCTGCCACCCCCCAGACACCGGCCACCTGTTGCCACCCACCACTACCTGGAGGCAAGACCTTTCCAGTCTGCCTCCTTGGTGGTCCTATGTCATGACCTCCGTTCTTCACCTCTTTACCTCCAGCTTAGCAGCTGGAGTTAGGGTGAAGTCTGGGGGCCCCCTTTCCTCCCCCATATACTGAGGTGAGAGTGGCACATGCCAGGGGACAGGGGAGGACTAATGAGGGAATGTTAGTATAAGGCCCATGTCCACGCTGGGCCCAAGGATCTGTGCACGCAGCAGACACATGTACACACCCATGGACACACAGACACATGGACACATAGACGTGTGGACATGTGGTGCTGTCGCCGCCACTGCTGCTGTTTTTCTGTGCTGCTGGCACCATGTGTGTAAGTGGGGCTGTCCATTCCCGTGGGAGACACCCTTCCTCCTGGCCCAGGGTGTCCCCTCCCAGAAGCTGAAGTGGGACCCCTGGTGTTCCGGGCAGCCCTGCATGTCCTGTGGGCTCTGGGCCCTCATGCTGGACTTGCTGGGCCTCACTGGCAGGTGGCCTCCTAAGTGACCAGGGTTGCCTGAATCTTTTAAATGGCCTTCTCACAGTGGGGTGTGCAGTGATGTGGGGAGAGCTTGGGATGGCTGCAGAGCTGGGATGCTCCCCCTGGAAGACAGCACACATCCCGCACAGAGCAGCCAGGGCTTTCCCACGTGGCTCTCGTCTCCTACTTCTTAGCCCTCTCTGAAGCTGCTGGTGCCATTCACCCTGGCTGTCCCCTAGCTCACCACCGCAGGCCCTTTGCTCCTGTGAGGGTCACCCAGGAAGACATGGTGTGGGGCTGCAGCGGCTCCACCTTGTCATTGAGGGAGATGGGGGCTTGCTTTGCAGCCTGCAGCCCGCTGTCACATTCACACCTCTGATGGGGAGGCAGGGCTATGCACCTGTCATGCAGACAAGGAAACTGAGGTTCAGGAAGGCAGAGCAACCATGCAGTCACCAGCGGGGAGACGTGGGGGCAGGGCTGGGGAATGGGCTTGGCTGGCTTGCGCCCACCCCCTGCCTGACCTTGGGAAGTCATTCAGGCCTCTGGGTGCTTCAGTTTCAGTCTCTGTGGGATGGGGCTTTGCTAGCAGCTGCCCCAGAGGTCATGTGGGTGTCTGTGGAGCCTTGGGACATGCTCCCCGGGCGCATGCCCCGTGAGCACCTCACCCAGGCATCACGGAGGCTGTGCTGAGCCCAGGGTACCTGTGCACATCACTGTCTCAGCTCCACCAGGAATATACAGTGAGAGAACACCCACAGGGGTGTTCAGTGAGTGCCAAGTTCGTGGGTGTCCACTCGAGCATTTTCCCCGGGGATTGGAGAATGCAAGC